GGGAGAAAAATATTTACAAATCATGTGTCTGATAAAGAAAAGCCAAAATATAGAAAGAATGCCTATAACTCAACAAATACAAACCACCTGATAGCAGTGCAGGGGTGATTCCTGTACCTTGACATGCAAAAGGCTCTCTTAATAGTCCACATTCAAACTGGAGAGGAAAACTGAAATCTCTAATGATGCTGTATTTATATTAATAAATAAAAATGCTTCGTTTATCTTAAAAAATAAAAAATTAAACACCTGATTAAAAAATGGGCAAAGTATTTGAATAGACATTTCTCCAGAGAAGATACACAAATGGCTAATATGCACAAGAAAAGATACTCAGCTTCATTAATCATTAGCAAATGCAAGTCAAAACCACAATGAGATACCACCGGACACTCATTATAATGGCTATTATTTTTAAAAACAAAAAATGAAACATATGTTATCTAGGACATGGAGAAATTTAGAACCCTCATGCACTGCTGGTGAGAATGTGAGTGAAATGGTGCAGCCACTGTGGAAAACAGTTCGGTGGTTCCTCAAAAAGTTAAACATAGAATTACTAAATGACCTAGCAATTCTACTCCTAGGTCTATACCCAAAAGAAATGAAAGTAGGGACTTGAACAGGTATTCGGACATTTATGTTCAAAAAAACATAATTCACAAAGGCTAGAAGGTGGAAGCACCTGGCCCTGCATCACCCTGCTCTTTTCTGCAAATGAAGCCCCCTCCCTCTAGCAACCTTCTAGTCCTCAGCTTCTTCCCAGCACAAAGGTTCTTTTTGCCTTCCCCCAGCATTTCTTGCTTTCCAACATTTTCTTCCTTTGTATTTTTCTTCCTTTTACCCTTTTGAGAGGCTAAAACTTACAGGGTGGCCACAAAGTGGTCCCACAGCCAATTTATGCACAAGATAGTGCAGGGTTTCCTCCTTTTCATGTGAGGCCATGTGATAAACCAAAATGGAATGAAAGGCCATTAGACGATTCACAAACAAGCAACACAAGCTGAGCCTGGTTTTCGGACACTCAGTTTAAAAAGCGGTAACTGAACTGCCTCTAGGACCCCTCTTTTTGTTTTCACATCTCTCCCTGCAGCTGCAACAGGCTCAGGAGCCCCACAACTGCTACTGTACCCAGACAATGAAGCCGCCTCACTGTCAGCTGCATCAGGTCAGAAGGCTGGTGCGCCCGTGGGCAGCCACTAGGGAGTTTCAATAAAGAAGCAACGTCACACACCCTAGCTGAGCTAGTGGAGAACTACTGCAGTCATCTCCATCTGGGTTTTTAAAAGCTTCTCGAGCTCTCCTGAAAACCTAATGCCCATTTATAATGGTTTCTATGGGTTAAAAAAACATGTTTTTTTCCTAAGAAGTTCCAAGTGCCAACTGCTGCCTTTTTATAAAATAGCTTTTAAATCAGTTTTTAAACAAAAATATCCTTAAGCATGGTATTTCTGGGCAGTAGGCTTATAAGGAAGGGATGTTTTTTTTCCTCTCTGCACTCTTTTGAATTTTCCCCAACTTCTACAATAACATACAAAGAATTTTCCTTCTTTGTAATAAGGAGAAAACCATTACTGAAACACATCCGTGCACACTTCTTTAAGAGGAAGACTGCCCAGATACAGCATATCCTTGACATTCACAGATTTGACAACTGCCATTTAAAATATGTAAAAAGTCTGACCCTGAAATGTACTAGAGTTTAATATTTTGCAGCAGCACAAATATGAATTTCATCTCAAAGCTCATATATGGAAGTGAATGGCTCACAGGCCGGTGAGTTCTCTCTGGCAGGTACCCGCATTCACGTCTCAGCAAAGCTTTGCTGTCCTCCACTGACCTTCACATCTCTCATTAAGGATCTCAGGAAGCTGCTTAAATTTTTCATTTGTATTTCATCGGGGGGGAAAAATGCCATGGTGGTTTTTAAAACTCCTAAGATTCTCAAAGGTTTCAGGGCATATATTTCATTAGTGTCAGTCTTCTATGTTATATTAACTGTTAAATAGCATCTCTATGGAAAACAAGGAATAAAATTGGTTTGTTGAAGTTATTAGATCACTTTTATGCATTATGCAAACTTAATTCAGCAAAGCAGTAATGGGGAAGCATGCATGAATTAATCCACATTTTTTTACTCACCCAAAATAAATACCTAATTATAAAGGTGACACAATAGGTTAAAAAAATTCAAACAATATAAAAGAGCACAAAAAAGAAGTCACAATTCCATTTCTTCCTGAATCCCATTCCCCTGTGAACAGATAGTGTATGCTCAAGAATTTTAATGTACATATGTTTTTTTATCTTGCACAAATGGATTAATTCAATATATATACTTCTATGGAGAATGTTTTACTCTACAATATTCTGTACTTATCTTTCTGTGGCCTGGGCTATTCATCAACTTTAGCTTTCTTAATTGTTACATAATATAATTTATTGAACCAATACCCTACTGCTGGGCATATAAATTGTTTATGATTTTTTGCTGTAACAAAGATTGCTTCAGTGAATATCTTTTACATATGTCACTATTCACATTTGCAGGTGAAATTACTATGTCTAAGGAAATGCCTATTAAAAATGGTGATCACTACATTCCAAAACCAATTATACCAATTTATACTCCTAACACCAACGAGAGTGCCCACTTTCCAAAACTTTCACTAACAACAGATGTTATCTATCATCATTTTGACCAATTATGCTTTACTTATACTTTCCTGAATATAAGTGAAACAGTTTTTCAGATGTTAAATTGACCATTTGCATTTTCTTATTTAAATACTTTGCCTAAGTACTTTTTCTCATGTTACAAATACTGTTTTTCAAGTTTATCATCTCCATTTGCCATTTTTCTTGTTTGTAGTACCAACCAACCACCTAAGCGATGGTCATGCACTCTCCAGGATGGCCTCAGGGAAGGAAGGTCAGTATCAGAGCATTCTGAGACAGGTGACAAGTGCAGTGCCACAGAGGGCAACAGAACCACGTATATGACCAGCTCAGGCTGGGGGGCGGGCGGGACACAGCGGAGGAGGAAGAAGCCTGAACAAACCAGTGTCCCTGGAGCTTCCACCAAAGATCATCTAGACTTACTGGGTTTTGTTAAATATTAGGAAATATTTTTCAAATATATATCTACATATTTATATCAAGGAACAGTATTTTTTAAAATTAATGTCAATATTACTACTGTTCTTATTGAAATTTCAAAATGATGTCAATCTGATTTAGATTATATAGTTTTAAGATGTCTAATTCCTTTAATAATGTAATTCTCACTGATATCCTCTAACTGATCGAATAATGTTTGTTTTATTATTAAGTTCACCTATATTCACAAGCTGTATAGATAAAGTATATTTGATACCAAGTATATTGGGTTTTGTTGTTTTTTACATTTTTAAAAAAATATATCTTTACTAATTTCAGAGAGAGGAAGAGAGAAGGAGAGCTAGAAACATCAATGATGAGAGTCATTGATCAGCTGCCTCCTGCACTCCCCTTACTGAGGATCGAGCCCGTAACCCGGGCATGTGCCCTGACCAGGAATCAAACCACGATCTCCTGGTAGATGCTCAACTGCTGAGCCACGCCGGCTGGGCCCATATCAAGTATATTGTGATATTTTAAAAATCAATCTCAAAAAGGCCAAAAACAGTTTTGGAGAAACACACCATAGCCATACATTTTAGGGGGAAGTGGGGTGGACAGGGCTTCCCTGAATTTCTTCTGCTCCTGTTCAAAAGAGACAGTCACCACTTGCACAGGTGGGAACAAACTGAAAGCCTCTGTAATGTGCAGAGTTGGTTTCCTCTTGTTTCTTAGAGTAGTCCAGTGTTTTTCACAGACATCCCGAGAGAGTTCCAGAAACTACCCGAGCAACAGTTCTACATGCAAGACCTCTGCTGCTCCTATTTTAACAAGCCAAATGTGGAACGATGTCCCTGGGACACAGGGAAGCCTGCCCCTCCCCAAAAGCTGTATTTTTACTAGGATGACTGGATTCTAGAGAAGTGCAGTCCATAGAATTTTCTGCAACAACAGTAATGTTGTGCATCTGTGCTGCCCAATACAATAGCCACCAGCCCATGGTTATTGAACACTTGACATATGGCTAGTGTAGGTGAGCAACTGAAAATTTTTCATTTTAATTCAATTTTAATAGCCACATATGACTATGGTTGTCACACAAGACAGCAGTTTTTGACCATTACAATCTTTTGTTTTTTAAGAAAAAATACCTATCCATCTATCTACCTACCTACCTCCAATTATGACAATACTCCCTAAAACAGTTGAATTACTTTAGTGAACATAGAATTTAGGGCAGGAATTATGTTACTTGCCTTCAGTGTGCAGTTACTTAATGACAAACATGTATTAGGTCCTCTTTTTTCTATCCTAGTTTCTTCTTTTCATGACTAATAAGAACAATTAGTCATTATAGAGGTTGGGGAAGGATAGGTCTCTTGCCTTCACTAAGTAGTTAATACTCATCAAGGAAAGAAGTTGTTCAAAATCTTGCAAAGTAAATGTGAATTTTAATATTCCTGTCATTAAAAGTAGGGCCTTAGGCTTAACCAATGGCAGTATCAACAGATTTCTCAAACTCGGAAGAATTTGTCACACGTAAGAATAAATACCCCGTAATTCATGAGGCTTGGCTGAATATTCTTTCTCCCCGTGGACACCAGCGGATATCCATGGAATAAATTCTATTTCATTAGGTCAGTAAGTGTTTTGTGATGGACTTTCACTTTTAAAAGGGAAAGGTGAGAAATATTTTATGCTTGACCTACTGTCTCTGGCAGGCATTCTCATTAAACAGAATTTTTTTGGAGAGAGAGACATCCAGGTTTGACTTTTATTAAGTTATTAACACAAATTCATTAAAGTAATTAGCAACCCAGTACATACAGATGGAACTTATAAACATATTCAGGTATTTCAGAGGGAAAAAAGAATTCTAGAACATTAATTTAGTATCTTACCTCGTAAGGAACAAACTGGTCCATTTTCTTGATTCTTAGAGCGCTTATTTCTGAACTGACTTGGAATATCTAATGAAAGGTCTTGAAAGGAAATAGGAAAACAGCTGTTAAAGTCAGATAACTCAAAGAGTAATTTCAAAAACTGTTGTATTTTTAATGACTTATCTCCACTGTCTTAATTTTCAAAGGAAACATTAAAATTATTCTAATACAGTATCAATCTCCTCATACCAAATATGTCTTACCTAGGAATGGATCGAACTTCCTAGATTCTGTCCCGCATATGAGGCAGTTGACCTCGTTCTGGAGAATGCCTCCGAACATGGCCGTGACAACCGTAGAGGCTCCATTTCTAAGAAAGCACATAGGAAAACATCTCAGCAAAAAAGGAAAATAACTTATATGTATTTAAACTATAAAATAATGCAAAAACTTCAAAAAATATTTAGACGTACACTAAAGAAAAGGGCTAAGTCACTGACTGACTGGCCTCCCCCAGGCCCTCTTCCATCCATTACTTTCTCCAAAGTCACAGACACCGGGCAGTTACCACTCCCAGCCATCGGGTCATGTGCATGCCTACGCTCGGGGCACAAAACTTCCCCAGTTATGTCCAGAGGAAAAGAGGGAACGGCCTCATATTTGAGTCTTTTCAAGGCCTCTCATCTTACAGGGAGGCTGCAGTTACTTTACTTTGAACCACCACCTCAACTGGAGATAGGTTTCCATTTTTCCAGGTGCTAAGCTGTCCGGGTTGGGGGAAAGAAGAAAGAAATGTCGTGCTTCTTTAGTGATCACTGGTGGAGGTCTGACTTTACAGCTGAAGTGCTGAACGTTCCTGTCGACAAGCCTTTTAAGAAGCTCGCTTAACATAAATAATTCCTTTGTGGAGGTCAAGAATACACTACTTTAATAAAAAACAAACAAAAAGCCACACAACTGCCCTCCTGTTAGTGAACCCTTAGCGCCTTGGCTTCGTCACATGTAAAAGGAACAAGGTCCATCCACCTCAGAGGCGGTGTGAAGACGAAATGGGCCGTGTGTGCACAGCACTTTTAAACAAGTGCTTACCAGAAAAAAAGCCCTTCAAGAGTGTTAAGGGCTTTTTATTACCATAATAATTAGCATCATACCTGCTTTTTGCTCTTCTTTAAGTGCCTATTTTGAACATGTCTTCTCCCCCCCCTTTTTTTCCTTTAAAATTTTTTATTTCAGAGAGAGGAAGGGAGAGGGAAAGAGAGGTAGAAACATCTACGATGAGAGAGTCACTGATCGGCTGCCTCCTGCAGAGCCCGCAACCTGGGCATGTGCCCGGACCAAGAATCGAACCGTGACCTCCTGGTTGGTAGGTCGACGCTCAACCACTGAGTCACACCGGTCAGGCTGTACCCCACTTTTTTGACAGCTGCACGGCATGCCACAGTATGGACACAAGAACAACTGAGAAAGTACAGCAGTGAGAGCATGATTAGCAAACACCCTATTAAGCACATGTGAAGGGCCATTCTAAGTACTTTCCACTTATTAACTCAGTGAACCCACACAGCAACTCTATGAGGTAGACGTGATTATTCCCATTTCACAGACCAGGAAGCTGAGGTCCAAAAGGTTAAGTAACTTGGCCCAAGGTCACACAGCTGGTCTGGCCCAGGCAGCTGTTCTCAATACTATGCTCCTGCTCTGAACTTAACCAACATAATAATATGAATGGGTACTGAGGCTGTTTCAATATTTTGCTGTCATTAATAGTACAACAAGAGACACATATCACCCTTTGTGCACTTATGCAGTTAACTTCGGCCAGTAAATGCTTTTATGCTAATAGGAACCTGAGGTGCTTTCTGACACTTGTGATCACTGAGCTGCACTTTCTGAACTGCTCTGAATCAGTTGCAGTGATGAGACAGACAAAACCTACCCGAGCAATTCTATTATTTTAAAAGTTTGCTTCCTTTGGCTTTCTTCCCTTACTGAAAAAAAAAATATATTTCAGCTTTACTATATTTCTTAAGTTGTTCATAAGCTATATGGCTTTCGTATAGAAATTAAACAAATAGGGAAGATATATTGGGAACTGTAGAACACAACGGCCACTTCAGGTTTTAGGTTTACTCTCTGTGTCATGAAGGGCACCCCAAAAATTACTATGGAAATAAAGGGACTATGACTGATCTTTTCATACTGATGTTCACATACAATGCTGCCCTTAATTTAAAGAGAAACTACTTTATTTCAAAGCAGAACATTTAAACTCAATGTAGTTCTTCCTTTATCATTTCTGCCTCTCAGTAAAGGGTACTAATCAAGTCAAAACACAAAACAGAATTTTTCATTTAATACTATTTTTAGTTTGGTGCTAGCAGCAAGAACAGTTCTGCCAGTCATAGGTCCTTCCCTTTCTGTATTGGAATCTAATTGGAATCATAGCTACAAGAACCTAGAAGACCAACCGTTTTGAGAAGTACAGCAATTCATGTTGGTCACTCTTCTCTGACACGGCCAGATTAGCTATGATACTGTTTAGTCATGAAAAAGGCCTTATCTCAGGGGCTGCCAGGCAACACTACAGCGACCTCTATGTGTTTCCTCCTCTTTTGTCCTTGGGGAATTCATCTTATAAATCCCTATACTGCATACATAGGTCAACACAAAACTTCAAAAATATGAACAAAAGGAGACTACACTACAACTAACCAATATCCAGGCTGAAATATCATAAAACATCTATGCCTCGAGCAAAATAAACGTTCTAATCTCAATGTATATTTTGGGGCATTAGTACTTGGAAAAGCAATCCAAAGGGTTGGTTTTGTTCATAGTGAGGTAAGGAAAAAATTCCAAGAACTTACAAATTTCTCAATTTCAATAAAGAACAGATATACTTTAGGAAAATTCAAGTCCAAAATGAGGCTTTAGAAAAATTCACATTCAAAATATTTTAAGCCTTTGTTTTTAGTGAATATAATTATTTTAGTATATGAAAAGTAAGTCTTCAAGCCATCATTCAGTACATTTGGAGGAAACCTTTTAAATGCTACATTGTACAAATATTATCTATTGCTTTTCAAGTTTTAAAATTATCTATATCAAATAACAATCAGAACTACACCAAGATGCAAATACAAGATGCCTGGTCTGGAAGTGGGAGACATGTGCCAGTCCACTTGGTCACAAAGTTCAAATGCAAAAATTTTCAGCAAAGGTTAAGGAAAACTCTCCACCTTCCAACAGAAATGTTTGCAGTTCTCCTAAAACACCAAAGGAAATTAAATCTTACATGCAACATTTGTTACTTGCAGACAGGGTAGAATTCTCCTGCAGAATTGCTGAGCGAGAAACACCGTTGAAACCACCCTGGAGTTCCAAGTGCAGATGGTCCAAAAGGTAGCGCATGAATTCATGGGCATCCTGCTGCTGGTAGCCCCTGAAACGAACAGAAACAGTCTGTCACGGGGGCGGCCCCGCTGCCCAACCAGGCAGAAGGGAAAAGCGGTGGGCAGGGCTGCAGCGCGCTCAGAGCGCAGGGCACAGCGAGGCGCCCGGGCTTGCCATCCCCACCTGCTCCATGTTTTACACACAAAACTTCTCAACAAGAAAAAAAAATTCTACTTTTTGAAAACACAGAATATTAAAGCTAATTGGACTGTAGTGATTTCAACTGACCCCACTTGAGAGATGAGGAAAACTGAGGGACAAAAAAGGGGGTTGGGGCATGATTTGCCTAAAGTCCCACAGAGATGGATGGACTACACCCCGTCTCTCCTGGAAGGGCCCTGAACCTTCCCACTGTCCCGCCGGCCCCTCTACAAGATGCTCAAATGTTAAAGTTTCACATCTTAACTCCACCACAGAACTAGGTCTAAACCACCACTACAAGAAATAAGGAATCTAAAACTAATTTTTAGATGGAAAGACACTAGTTTTTAAGCATTGGCTGAAAGAAAAAGAGAAATTATCTAAAAAGTTAGACATCTAATGTTCTATACTTGCCTCCTAATCTCAATTCAAAAGACGTTGTTTAAATAAATACTTTAAAAAATGCACTGAGTCACACACAATTATTCTCTATCCTAAAATTTTAATATAGCAACATATTCTTAGGTTACTTCTTCCACTTTATTCAGATAGGAAATTATATATAATAAGATCAATGACAAGTAAACAGAAATGAAGGCTGACAGAAAATAAAGCTGATATAATTGGAAGGTAATAGAGGTGTACGTTGATAAAATAAATCAAGCAATGAAATATAAGGTACTTGCATAAAACTGTAGATGGAAAAGACTTCTGCCTACATTCTGCCAGCACGGAAGGTTCTCTTTAATCTATCCTCTAAATCTCAAGTTTTTCTGGCTGGTCTTGAGTCAAAACTTCCACCGCTCTTCCAGGCAATGGTTCCATAAGCAAAATTTCTTTCAACCAGAGTTTCCCTCAATCTATATTTTCCCCCTTTTCCTGAAATTTCTCCTGGAAATAAGAAATTATGAAAACAGTCTGCCTAATCAATGGAACTTAAATCAGAAGTCACTTTAGCATTGCACTATAACTTTTTCTGAACTACTTAGCTACTAATTATCAATGAGTCCAAGTATTTCTTCTAAGATTCATATGAATAAAAATGTTAACATTCACAGTCAAAAGTATTCACTCAAAGTTGGTAGTTCCTTTATGTATCTATGCGAGGTGCTTTAAACTTTTTCAATACAACATCCTTTTTATTTTTCATAACTCAAAGGTAATATTACTACTTTAGGAGATATCTGAAATTCTATTACATATAAAAATAGTTTCATTCTTTCATCAAAATAACCTGATATCTAATCATGTTTCTAAAATGAATCATTTTAGAAACCAGTCAGTACCTTGTAGTTATGCTGATTTGCATTTTCATCAAATACATTCTTTTTAAAAAATAATCTTCCTAATGTATACTGATGAATGTTTCCAACCATACCATGATTCTCTTTTCTTTTTTCAAAAACATTATATTATGATGTTTCTTTTACCATTAGAAACACATTTTGATGTACTTGAGATCACGGAACACTGGGCTATTTTATAAAGGTTAAGTTCTGGGTTTCTATTTTAACGTGTGATCTTTACCAGAAAAGTTTCTTCTAAGACTACGAAATTTTCTGATTCTGACTAAATAGATATTTACAATTCCATTTTTAAGTATTTAAATAAAACCTTTCATTGACTTATCTGAACGTCTTAACAAATATTATTTAGTATGTTAAATCAACAAACTTCAGTTACCTTTTTTAATTATTTGCCAATTATACAACCTGGGCTTCAGAGTTTCCTCTCCAGTTAATTAGGTTTCTCTTGTTTGGTAATCACATTAAAGGAAACACTCCTCACATCTGGGTGCAGTATTTATGTTTTGTATACAAATTATTTCACTGATGTCAAACAGGTGTTTGTGAGTTAGTGAGGAAATGGATTTATGCAGAATTGAGAGACAAGAAGACAGAGGGAAATAACAGTGGCTCCAATTTTAACACTTCCTTATCTTTACTTATTTGACCTTAAAGATTTCCTCCTCTTTAATGTCTACAGGAAATCTGTGTCATAAAAAAATGCTGTGGGAAATAATTGTTAGAGAGCACACTGCAAACATAAGAAGCTTAAAGGATCATGAATCATCCCTTCTGAACGAGGGGGCTGAGAAGAGGGGACTGTTGAAGGACCACATGGGGCAGCTGGCTCTTCACAACAATTGTTGGCACAATGAGGTAAGCCATATTTACCCAAATCTTTAAAAAAAAGAAATGCCCCAATAAAGAATGATCGAAGAAAACGTTACTCTGCCCTGGCTGGTGTGCCTCAGTTGGTTGGAGCACCATGCCGTACACAGAAAGGTCAAGGGTTCTATTCCCAGTCAGGGCACATACCCAGGTCAGGGTGCGTGCAGGAGGCAACCGATCGATGTTTTACTCTCAGATCAATCTCTCCCCGCTTCCCTTCCTCTCTCTCTAAAATCAGTAAAAAAGCATGTCCTCAGGTGAAGATTTTTTAAAAAGGAAGAAAAAAATGTTACTTTGCAGCTGACTTGAGTGTGAAAAGCAGACATTCCAAATAATCAGACACCAAAGATATACACACACACAAGTACCTGCATGATGCCCCAACATGCACAATTGTGACACGCACCTGTGCGTTACTGACTAGTCTCTGTTTGGGCAGTACCAGCACATAATTTATAAAAGACCAAGAAGGAACAGGACAGGCCTCTACAGGCTCAAATTTTATCATTCTAGAACAAACGTCTCCGAAAATACCTAGGACATGCTAGAACACTAGAACTTTAAGTTCTGTTCATATTTAAATTATCTTTAACATTCATAAACGAATTCTAAATTATTGTTTTGTCCAAATTACTTGCAAAACCAAAATCAGTTAAAGTTAGCCATTCCTACCCAGCATGTGGCACCTATCATGGTTGTTTCTTCAAGCAAAAAACATCAGAAAAACAAAAATTTCAAAAATGATTTCTGTTTACAAACACGCACAAGAAATACAACAGCAAAATTCCTGGATAGAAGAGCTAATATTGTTTAAATATAAAATATCCTCCAAATTACCTGTTAAAGTTTTCTATTTACAAAAACCCATAAAGATTACTGTTAAATTAAAATACCACAATTAAAGACCTATTTGTATACAAAGACCTTTACGCTTTCTACAGCGCCAAGTAGAACAGTTAGCAAATATAAGAATACTGTTCCAGTAATTCATTCACCCATCATGTTTAAATATTAATTACAACAAGAACTAATTTTTTAAAAACTAAAGAAAACTCTGTTTTGGGAAGTGAAGGCAAATACATTAGATCAGGTTATACGTGGAAGTAGAAACAGTGCAGAAGTGATGTGAGAAGCAAGGGAACAAATACCAGCCCTGATCCGAATTATCAAGAGACTTTCCTGGAGAGAGTTAGTTGGATCCTAAGAAAAGAAATGGGACCACGAGGCAAATACTGCAGGCAGGAAGCACATGACAAAGGTATGGAAGCGACAAGTCAAAATCATGTTAAAGAAAGCAAAGGCTAGCAGAAAAGACTATCAAAATTACAAAAGCCAGTATCTTTTGAGTAAGCAATTTCTCTTTCAGGTACATGCATATGAATGTATGAGACTACCCACTGCAGCCCTGTTCGGAACAACAAAGGTAAGGAACGAGTCCCCGTTGGTAGGGGGCTCTTACATACATTGTGATATAGCCATAAAGGAGAATATTGCGCAGTCATAAAATGGCCCGAGAAAGCTATTTATATACTAATATAAATCATCTCAAAATAGGAAAAAAAGATGTTACCATTTATGTTAAAAATTACACACATACAGAAACACACACGCTTGTAATATACACATGCAGAATATCACTGAAAGGATACACAATAATCTAATAACTATAGTTAATTCCAGAAAGCAGAATGAATGGCTTGGGGACAGAGTAAAAGAAAAACATTCATTGCATATCCTTTTTTATCTTTTGAAATTTTGAACCACCTGTATTTTGCCTAGTTTTTAAAAAAAACTTTAAGATACTTTTATGAACTAGAGAAGGACAGGAAAAGCTGGGCAGCCACAAGCAGCATGGCAAGTAGGTACTGTAACCCTCCCCCTGCCCTCGGGGGATGTGGCCAAGGCCCGCTGGGGATGCCTGAGACTGAGGGTGGGCCCTGAACCTGTGCACACTGTGCTTTTTCCTGTACAAACATACCTATAACAAAGTTTAACTTATCGAGTAGGCACAGGGAGAGATTAACAGCAGCAATAAAATAGAACAATTATAAAAACATACTGTAATAAAAGTTATGCAAATGAGACATTATTTAGTAAAATAAGGGCCACTTGAACACAAGCACTGGGATACCACGACAGCCCATCTGACAGCCGAGGCGGCTAAGTGAGCAGCGGTGTGGGGAGGGCGGGGCGCAGCGGCATGGCCCGGCCTGGGCGGGCGGGCCGGACGGGGTTTCACCGCGCTGCTCAGACTGGCGGCAAATGAAAACTTATGAACTGTTTATTTCTGGAATTTCCATTTAATATTTTTGGATCATGGCTGACTGCAGATCCCTGGAACCACAGAGAGTGACCGTGGATACGGAGAAGCTACCGTGTGTCTGCTGGGAAGGTCAAGCTTCAGGAACCATTTCCCTGCTGGATAAAACTGGGTTTTGGTTTGAAAGGAAAAGAAAAAAAAATAACTTTGATGGTTTCTATACCCAAAGCTGTTGATTATTTTTAGAATATTTTTTCTGCATTTATTTAATAAACAAAAGTTGTTCCTATTTTTATGTGCAAGTTTGTATTGCAATTATTCATATTTCATTCCACGGGAGCAGATTCCCTAGACACTGTCATATCTTAATCAAGGAAAACGAGCTTTCTAAACTTTAAACAAAATTTACTCTGGGATTATAATAGAAACATAATTCAAGACTCATTGTGCTTCCACACAGACATAAGGACACTACCCTGCAAACCTAAGAGAAATGACAATTATAAGAAGAAAGTCCGACTACCTGCCTCACAACTGGGCACTGTCCAGTGACCCTGTGCTATAGCTTTATCCATGATATAATCTCAATATCCAGATCCAACCAAAAGAAAGTTATTCTTTAATTACATGGAAATGGGGAATAATCTCATTATTACAGGACTAAGAGAAAGCCATGCTAAGAATACACAGGCGTGTACTCTCGCCAGTCATTAAGGAAAGAGTTCATGTGCATGAGGAATCATGAGACGCAGGGCCAAGTTCCTCAACCTGGTTACCTTTTCCAAAAGTTCTTGCCCTCTGTCGGCAGGAGTACTGGCATGTGCAAAATTAAGCAGCTAAAAACTAAATCATGCTCACAGTTGGGCTACAGAAAATATAAAGAGACGTGTGCAGATCTAGAGGAAAAGTAGAATTCTATCGAATAAATAGTGTTTCTAAACTCCCAATTAAGAATGAGGGGCCTGAGTCAACACTGGGACCAAGCAGAATAGTATTGAGTTAGTTGCAGGCCTCACTCAGTCAGGCATGTGGACAAATTATCGTTAAAAGACCTATCATTAGCCAATCCCACAAAGACCTGGTTCTCACACTGGTCCTGACATCTACTAGCTGTATAAGACTGAACAAGTTGCTTCTCCTCTGTCTTAAAATGGGGCTAACAGTTCCTACTTTGAGAGGAATTTTGTTGTGTTTTTTAATGAAGATCAGATATAAAAGACCTAAAGTGCTAGGCACATAGTAGGCATTCCATAAATGGAAACTATTTTTATACAATAATAAAACATAAAGATTAAATCCCTATTAAGAGTCTAATTAGGTGATTATGTTAGAAATCTTATATTAAGTCCAAACCCGATCAGTGGTAACTTAACAGTCATTTTTCCACCTTTCCTACTTAAGAGTCAAGAAATCCTAAAATCCTCACAAAATTAGTCTCCTGCGAGGAGACTTGAATGGCATGACATACATAAAAGAAGTTTTTCTTCAAAACAAAGATCAAGGGTAATAACAGTTGATCAGAACAACTGATTTCTCTATACCACCTACATATCTAAACCACTATTGGGCAACAGAGCAGGATACATGTTCTGTTTTACTACAGCATGCTGGATTTAAAAAAAAAAAAGAGAGGGATGTACATTAGCTGCCAAAATCATGACTAGTAAGAACCATGATTGCTTCAGAAAGATAAAATCAACAGAAGGTGGCAATGGCTGTTGTCAAACACCTGCAGTGCCCCAAATCTGCTATGACCTGAATCCCTCCAGAGGTGACTAGGCCAGAAGACGTAGGGACCTCTGACAACAGCGCTGTTTCCCTACTGGAGCAAGGTCAGCAGCGGGCACAGAAACAAGCCACTCTGCAGCCACACTAGCGTGGGCCCAGCCACCTCCTGGCAAGTGAATCCCAATGCACTTGAGTAGTCTCCCAAGGCCTTCAGAACCCAGAGCAGAACTGTGAATGCCACGGATTTCTGATTACAGTTGGAATTTTGTTAGTTGAAATAACAAGATAGTGTATGATAGTAATTATTCTTTATACGATTTTGAAAGAATCAAGGAAATTTTGTCCAGTATGTTTCCTTAGAGCACATTAAGTTATTTATAAGGGCTTTGTTTTTACAACAACAAAATATCCTACCCTTTGTTAAAGACATTTCTAACATCTATTATTTAAACAAACATCTGTCTAGTCAGATATATCCAACTTCTTCTGCTTTAAAAAGAAAAAAGCGAAACCAGTCTTTAATACTTAGAATACCACCACTTCCTTGGAAATTGTCTCAGGAACAGCATAAAGACTAATAGTAATGTTTTAAGTATCTTTCATTAAGTAATACTTACCTAAAATTCGGCATAATCTTCCAAATAACATAAAATAAGGACTCTGGGCTAAATGCAGTTTGGCTGCCTTGCCATAGAGCACACAGTGTCTTTCTAAACTCTTCCACCAAAGACCTGCAAAAGAGGAAGGGACGATACCCTTAGCATCAATGAGAGGCTACTATTTCAATGCATAATGTCCAATTGTCTAAAATTCATAATAAAAACATAAAAAGGGTCTGGTCTCTTCTGAGCTAAATCTGACAATTAAGTAAGAGCATCACAAAAACCCACGTAAATAACAGTAATTACTGACAAACCCAGTTTTGTAACCATATGCTGAAGTCTGCCAAAGTACTGCCGTGTTAGTACAATAAAGCAATGGTTAAGTTATAAACCAAATTACTTAAGAATATACATTTTAAAAAACTTAAAACAACGAACAGAATCTCTTTCTCCATCTCCTGCATTTCTCCCCCTGCCCCTCACTAGGAGCACTTCCCAGACCTCAGTGTGACCATCTGCTCATCTCTGCCTCAGAGAGTCCATCTGACACAAGGCTTCAACACTCGGCTCTATACCAGTGACTCTCAAAAATCCAAATCCAGAAGCCACATTTTCTCATGACCACTTTTACTCAGGTCCCTCCAACTTCCACAGGGAATTTCCACTGGATGCCCTCTTGCCAGTTCCAACTCGACTGTACTGAACCTGCTCTCTGTCCTCTCCCTACTGTCCCCTAGTATCCAGTCTCCTCCATAGGAACAGAAGTTCCTTTTTTCCCCCTTGACACATAAACTCCTGGAATAAAAAACAATGAGTGTATTTTACTTCTGAGAAATTTCCTTATTAACTCTTCCTCCTTCCTTCTAGCTGGAATGAGAATGAACTGGTGGCACTCCAGTTCCTGGACTGTGTGGCTGAGGGCCCCACCCCAGGGCTGGTGGAACAAAGAGCTACAAGGAGCCTAAAGACTGTGTGAAACAGCCCTAGACAGATAACCTCCAACTTCTGCACGAGAAAGTAAGCCACGGATGTTTAAGTCACTGTTAATTTTAGTTATTTATGCATGTAGCTAAACTGATATGCCTCCTCAACTTCAATGACCACATCTGTCAAAACAACTACCATATTCACGGACACCTAACTGATATCTCGGAATCTCAGTATCTTCTTTCTCAACCTGTTATCCAGTATCCCTGGGATACAAAGCATATTTTTTACTTCTTAGTACCTGAAATTTTGTTTGAGGAATTCCCCACCTTCAGAGTCTTGGTGAGAGTCAGAGCTTGCCTCCCAGTATGAAAGCTGGAAAGGCCAGATACTTGCTTTCTCAGCCTTCCTTCCACCTGCCCTGCAGGCAGGACTCAAGTACAGGGCCTGGGTTCTGCCTATTTGAAGCAGGTGTTAGTGATGCAAAAAAGCTGGTACAGTCCCAAATCCTTTCTGGTGGCAAAAAGCATCACGTGGAGTTCACCCAGCGCCCAGCTCCAGTGGTGCCGGCAGTGGGAGCCCTGGCGCTGCACTGGGCAGCAGAAGCAGTGATGTCCTCGTGGGGGAATACCATGGGATGACTGTGGCTTTGGTTCTGGATGCCCAGACTTCAGACCTGATTTTCTACCCACCCAGTAATGGTTAGCGCGCCAATCAGATCTTCAATACATTCCCTGTCTGCCTACAATGGCCAGAAGCATTTCCATGGTTTGAAGCTAAACCTTGAATTACATTAATACATGGAGCACTGCTCGCTCTTCCTTTAGGGTTGTGCGCATGTATTTTCCCTCTTCATGTCCCTGCTACCCCTCCAACCCAATTACTACAGAATGTGAAGCCTCCCTAAATGCAAGCATTTTCCAGTGCCTCCTGTATACTGTTATCAAAGTAAACTCTTAAGGCACCACTTCTAGTGATATCAGTCCATCCCTGCTCCAATGCCTGGTTTTCAAGCCCCCCCACATTTTGGCCCTAACGGTACAGTACACTGGTCCAGCATGTTCTATCCTAGTCTCCCTCAGCCACTCAGGCAGAACCGTGCCAGGTTAGAAGATGGCTTTTTGGAATGTGTGGGGATGGGGGGGAGGGTAGGGATGGGCAGGCAGGTAAAACATTGCATTAAAATATATACAGATTATAAATCATATCCCTGTTTCAGTAATGGTAAGATATGAAAAAATGTGCCTCTTATAAGCATAATATGCTACATCTTCTAAACCCCAAATAGAGCATAACTGCACTGAATACATATTGCCTCTCAATAATCACTTGTTAATTTTCTCCCTCTTCATATCAATGAAAAATTGACTGTATTGACCCTGTAATTAATGTGATGACTACAAATTAATTTTATTATCCAAGACAGATTTATCTAACACTATCAGACAAGTCAATTCACAAAGACTAGTAGTATTCCTGCTGGTCTACCCCTAGAACTGTATTTCATACACAGATGTCAATTTTAGATTGTCCAAATTCACAAAGACTCAGTAAGTAGAGTGCTAAATTTATGCCACCTTTTAGGTAAATATATATAAAAGAATTCCAACATTTATTACAATTACCAGCTAGATACTTAAACACAATTTTTAGAAGAGTTTTTTTAAATGTCCCTCTGAACTCACATATGTGATGGAAATCACCAGTGAGAGTCATTTGTTTTGTTTCAAGGCCAGAAAGGATTCATTCTTAGAACTCACACATTGTTATCTCCTTGGCTCCTGGTGTGGTACGTTCGCCTTCCAGCCGTCTTCCCGTTCCTTAACTCCACAGCAGGCAGTTCTTTGAAATAACAGCAAAACTGTTCAATGTTACTATTTAAAAAGGAAGGGAAGAAAATTATTATTTTTTAAAATTTACTGGGACTATAAAGAAAATTCTATGAAACCTACATATAGATTTTGAAAATGTGATCTTTCCATTTTTCATTTAAATTGTACTCAGTGTAGTCTATTGCATTGAATATCTTCATTAAGTTTTGACATTTATTCCAAGAAAAAGTATAAATAGGTGACTGCAGAAATGAACAAAGATCTTAACACAAAATCTCTGTTCAAAAAATCCTCAATTTCCCCTCCCCCCACATCTATAAGTTGTCACCATTTCTTTCTTCTCAGGGTGCTTGTTTGCAGGTGGTCAACAATTTTCTCAAATAAAAACAACTCATGAAACCAAACATACTGTTTAGATACACTACACAGAGTAACAAGGAAAATTCAAATGCCAAATTTCTTCTTTGGGCAAACTGGATTAAGCTAATAGTACCTTTAAGGAGAGAAAAAATATGGCTTCTGCCTTATTCCCAAGGTGGCCTTGGGAAGATAATTTATTATGACGTTTGATGGCTCATTGAAACCTAAAAGTACACAACTTTCAAAATATTTATTCTATACAACTTATGTCAGCCTTCTTGGCCATTTTATTTTTACTGCTTATCTTATATTCTGAAGATCTTCTAAACATCCAATCTTAGACTACACTTAAGGCTCAGCTAATGATTCAGATGTTTTCTGAACAAGGTTCCCTGTAGCCCAGGAGTCTGCAAACCACAGCCCACACACCATATCTGGCCCTGGGCCAGTGAGCTTTTACATTTTTAAATAGCCATTTCAAAAGGGGATGGGGTAGAGGGGAGAAGACTATGTGAGAAACTGTAGGTGGCATGCAAAGATTAAGAATATTTATTTAATCTGACCTTTTACAGAAAAAGTTTGCTGGCCTCTGCTCTAGCCTATTCAAGAAGCAATAGGAAATAAATAACAGCTAGCAGTTATTTAATGCTAGGCACTTTTCTAATAAGTACTTTATATACATTACATTTAATCACTCCAACTACCCTGTGAGGTAGAACTACTATTCCCAATTTTGCTGATTGGGAATTGAGGAACTTGCCCCAAGCCATATGACTAGAGTCGATGGCAGAGAGGATCTGAATCCACAGCTTTTGCTCTTAACCATTCCACTAGCAACTAACAACAGATACTTAAGCTCTATCACATTACCTGAGTGACTGAAGGATGGCATTCATAAAACACGTGTTCCCCAAATTCCGAAGGCCTGTGGCACAAATGGCAGTGGTGCTTCCCTATAAAATGGGACAAGAAGAGGCCATCAGTAATACCAAGAGAAGGCTGATATTTCAAACATCGAAACAAAGCAAAGGCATATATTTGCAATTCCAGCCAATCTGAATTGGTCTTTTTTTATCCAATCAATATTTCAAACTCTTTTATATTTTCTGCATAAGTGTCTAGATATGTTTAGAAAGTTGTTTCTGATCCTGGGGTTGTTCTAAATAGGAGTATCTTACAGAAGCTTATGAGAAAAGCAGCATTAATAAGTACCATGCAAAAACCATGAAGATCCTTAAAAGAAGTAAACATTAAGATTTAATGTCTTTATAAGAGTCTATTAAAACTACTACTAATAAAAAAATATAAATTTTATACCCCAAGTATTTCTGTCACCAAACTTTTAACTCTAAGCTATACATAAATGACCAATACATGTTTTTCTAGCAATAGAATATCAATCTTAAAAAAACTACCTGAGCCCAGCCGGTGTGGCTCATTAGTTGAGCGTCAACCTAGGAACTAAGAGGTCACAGTTCGATTCCCGGTCAGGGCATATGCTCGGGTTTTGGGCTCGATCCCCAGTAAGGGGCATGCAGGAGGCAGTAGCCAATCAATGATGTTTCTCTCTCATCGATGTTTCTCTCTATCCCTTCTCCCTTCCTCTCTCTCTAAAAATCAATAAAATCATGCTTTAAAAAAAACTACCTGAACTTCCCTTAAACTAAGACTTGGTTTTCTGCAAGAGCACCATAATGCCTCAATACTACACCTAAACACTGGAAGTGAACCTACCAATCCAACTCAAAGCATCTCTGCGCACAATTCAGATGGCCAGAGAGCATTTTAGCTCCTTCTTTCACAAAATGCTAACACTTTAAAGTGTGTCTATATATAGCTAAGCTAGCACAAGAGCAGAGAGGTAGATGCAGGGTAAAATTATTAAAATATTTTGTGATTTTTTTTGCCCTGACTGGTGTGGCCCAGTTGGCTGAAGCACTGTCCCACACAATGAAAGGTGGTAAGTGGGATCCCAGTCAGGGGGTGTGTGGGTGGCAACCAATCAATGTTTCTTTCTCACATCAATATTTCTCTCTCTCCCTTCCTCTCTCTAAAATAAATAAAAATTGTTTTAGGATAAATAATTTCATGATTTGCCCTACTAATTGGACCCTGTTCTCAGTGATTAGAGCGTCAGTCCACACACCAAAAGGTCACAGGTTCAATTCCCAGTCAAGGGCACATACCTGGGCTGCAGGTTTGATCCCTGGCCCCAGTCAGGACACCTGTGGAGGCAACCAATCGATGTATCTCTCTCACATCAGTGTTCTCTCTCTCTCTCTCTCTCTCTCTCTCTCTCTTCCTCCCTCCCTCCCTTTTAGTCTCTCTAAAAATCAAAGGGAAAAAAAATATATTCTTGGGAGAGGGTTAACAAAAAACAAAAAAAATATTTCGTGACTTTTAAATTTTACTAACCCATTAATGGCTCAAACATCTGGTAACAGACAGTTACCAGAATGAGAAAGCATATTCTTTTATAGTAAGTTGTATTAATGAAGTCCTAAGAAATAAAATACCAGTACTTCAGATCCATAGATTTTATTCTAGGGACCTTTAACAAAAAGCAAGGTCTCTGGATCCTATAGAAACGTCATAAGGTACATGAGCAGGCGTTAAGAACAAAAGCTTCGTCTGGGGTGGTGAACACACAATAAAATATACAGATGATGTATTATAGGACTGTACCTCTGAAACCATTATAATTTTATTAACCAATGTTACTCAATATATTCAATAAAAATTAATTTTTTTTTAAATGTTTTTGCTTTTTTTTTAATATATCTTTATTGATTTCAGAGAGAGGAATGGAGAGGGAGAGAGAGACAGACAGAAACATCAATGACAAGAGAGTCACTGGGGATGGAGCCCACAGCCCGGGCATGTGCCCTGACCGGGAATCGAACCTCGATCTCCTGGATCCTAGGTCGATGCTCAACCACTGAGCCATGCCTGGCCAGGCAAAAAATTAATTTTTAAAAAAGAACAAAAGCTCGCTAAGGCAGAGGAGTACAGTGCTAATCCTGATGGAAGAAAGGCACTGACAGATGGATTCACTGGAGTGTTTAGCCACAACAATAACCATGAGGACAGCCCGGCCGGGCGTGGCTCAGCGGTTGAGCGTCGGCCTAGGATCCAGGAGATTGCGGTTCGATTCCCGGTTACGGGCTCGCAGCCAATCAATGACTCCCTCATCATTGATGTTTCTCTCTCTCTCCCCCTCTCCTTCCTCTCTCTGAAACCAATAAAGATATATTTAAAAAAAGAATCATTAGTACAAGTGCTAAACATTTTGTAAAATATTCCAAATCCTAGGCATACACTTATAAAAGTAAAAGTTTATATAGACCAACATTAACGTTAAAGTTGTAATAAAGCAGAGACTAGATTTCAACCAATCTTACATTTGAATAAGTTTTAATTACTTACATTTACTTTTAGTAACTTGCTGTTTAGTGATGAGTTTTCCAAAAGTTTTCTTTTCCTATGCCTGTCAGCTGTGAAAGCTGAGCTATTGAAACACAAACAGACAGACAGACAAAAAGACATTAATACATACAGACTACACAGCAGGCTTCAGAATAAACTTGGCTGTTCTACGTGTCTAGGGTATGGAGCCCTGCCTGGCTGCTTAGTTGGGCGAGGAAGTGACCTGTTAGGTCCACTGTGGCCCACAAGTACTAAAGTAACTGAGGCGTTCCACTTCCCTTAAAAATCCCCACTGCTTCTTCAGCAGGTGAGACTGGAGGCTGCCACCACCAGGCGCTTCCAAGAAAAGCGGGCCCTGGGACAAACCTGTGAGACAACCCTCTCCACCCCCGCTCACCTGCCTCACCAGTGGGGAAGCTTCAAAAATGAGAACAGCCATTCCTCACGACAAAAGGAAAACCCTGGTCTGACATGACTATTCTGAGAGTTATCAGTAAGTCTCAAATACTGTGCTACTTCTTTCTTAATTTTGATAAGGTATCATGTTTGTTCATTTGTCATAACAGGTTATAATAATGAGTTTGTGAAATGATAAAAAATTATAGGCATATATAAATTCATTTGATGATATTCTAAAACAAATCCTAATTAGAAATTTTAAATTTGAATTATTGAAATTTTTCTTGATGAAAGAGATATTTTGCCTAAAATTTATCAGAAAGTAATTCCTATCTTCAAAGAGTCACTTTAAAATTATTATGTATCAGGAGAACTGATCTAAAGGAGGTAAAATTATCATTAAACAACACAGACTTTTAAGTCTGCCGATTCTTTCCCATCTTCTAAAAATACTAGGCTTATCCATAGTAAATACATAATTATTTCTCTTTCCAGAATTTCCAGATAAACTATGTCTTTGGAGCATCAGATCTAGTAACAGTCAGTTGCTTCAAATCTAAAAACACTCATAGGAAAACATATCTTTAGAACTGTAGGTCCTTCTCCGTGCAGCGGTGGCTACAGGTAAGAAGAGACCAGTTCCATATGCTACTATGTTAAGTTACTCGTTCGCAAATTCTGTAAGCAAAGAAGTTGAATCACAAGCACAGTATTTATACTACTTAGTGACAATGCCTAATAGTAACTTTATTTTTAACCTACATAAAACATTTAGTTTTTTAAAAAGAAGTTATTAAAATTTACCATCAATGAGTCTCAAAATGGCAGAATCCTCTAGATCCACACTAATATGGCAGCCACTTGCTACATGTGGCTACCTATATTTAAATAAATTAAAATTAAATAATTTTAAAATTCAGTTCTTCACTCCCACTAGCCACTTTGCAAGTGCTCATTAGCCACATGTGGCCAGTGGCCACCATATGGGACAGTGCAGATTCAAGGGCATCTCCTTCACTTCAGAAAGCTCTCCCGCATAGTACTGCTCTGGAGAATATACAGGAAAGTCTCAAGTTAAGTAAAACATAAATGTAATTACAGTTTTTAAATTGTAGCTTCCATTATAGATTAAAGCCTATGTTTGAAAAACATAAAAAGGAACTTAGGTAATGTTTTTCAACATAGAAAAAGGACCGCAAGGTAGATTTTTAAGGGGGCCAAGTAGAAGTGTAGACAAGGTAGTCTGTAACATCTTGTACCTGATGAAATGGTCAGTGGAAATAAAGGATTTGATGACCGCACACATGCATGCAGGTTCTTGAATGTTGTATTCTTTTCTCTTTGACTTAGTTCTGATTAATTTATTTGGGATTAGATGGTAGTCTTTTCTTAGAGAAAAAACATTCTGGTAGCTACCGACTTCTTTAACAAAGAACCAATATAGTAAGATCTTTACAATGACACCACCACACTAAAAGAGTGATATTACATAAATCACTGCAAGAATCTCCTACTTCACAGTTAATTGTGACAATTTCAGACAAAATTAAATATTCTAGATCTGTGTGTGTCTAACCCGAGATAGGGCTCTGGCTGCTTTGTTCCAATTAATGGAAGGGGTGCTTTGAGAAAGAAAAAAGCCAAAAAAAATATAAGCCAAAAAATACTTAAATCCAAAGTATTTTAATTAGTTTTGATTTTGAAGAAATCAATTCTCCTTCCCTCATCAGCTTTATAATCTATTTAGTCAGAGACATGCATACAAACTTTGGTTAACCAAAGCTATACACTGTTTCACTTGAAGAACTTAGGCTATTTCCTCTCCGAATTCGATTTTAAAATAGTCTATTAGCTTTACATTGAAGTTCGCTTTTGGCAAGTTCTCACAACACCTTTTATACATCAACTGTCAACATAAATTACATGGTACCTGATGACTGGGGTGATTTACACAAATTTCACTTGAGTCAGCAGTCGTTCCAGGCCTATGTTTCTCTCCACTGCCTTCAAAGGCACTGCTCTTTGGATTTTTGTTTAACTGCTTGAATTTGGGGCTCAGTGAATTTTATCTGAATGGCCTATTTGGCTACAGCAAGAAAATTCTATTCACATAAGTACTTTAATTTCTTTATGATGACCTAACAAAACATTCCACAGCTTCTGGTAATTTCAAGTGATAGACACTGCCTCTGACAAAAAAGGAAAAGAAGACACTAGGATCTAGTGATACCACATAGATGCAAAGTGGACAATATAATCAAACCTAATTTCCCTTACAAAGAACACATACACTTCAGTGCTTCTAAGAAGACTTGTAATACATCTGATAAGGCTTTCCTAATATCAAAGGTAACTCTATAATGCTTTCAGTGTCTTCTGTCCTTTCCTTGCACCACCAAAATTCCCCTTGCAAATAAACTATGTAGCTTACAAGTTGGTGGGTTATAACTGAAAAATAGCCCTGGGGATCTTGGATGTGGTTTATGACAAATATTAAATGAAATAAATGCTAAGATATGACCATGAACTATGGGCACAGTGTCAGATATCCAAACCGAAAGCTTATTTTATTACCATTTCAATCACACTAAAACATGATAAAGTTATGGAACTCATAAACAAAAATCCCACTCAGAAACTCAGAAAGACCCCCCAATCCCAGTCAATCCTTTTTTCCCAAGGACTGTAACTTACTTTTCCAAGTTCTGTAAATGCTCTCTGACTTTCTGTACCAGTCCCAGCTTGGTGTCATTAACCACGAAATCATCACAGCGATAACTGCAAGAAAAATATTCATCAATGTGTGTAAAGAGCTTGAGGAAACCACAGTAATGAAATCACTAAAAGGCCGGCTGCTGCCAAGACGATCACATGGCTCTGCCGGCAGTTCTGCTGGTGGTAAGTTTAAAGAGGACTTGGAATCCACAATGGAATGTTTTTTATGAGCCTTTTTAAAAAGCCACGTAGGCAATGAACACTAGATTCTTTTCACATTTTTATTCAAAAGCTCGATTCCTCCTTCAAAAATGAAATAAACTGCTGCATGTATTACATTCTTTTTGGAGGTGCAAAATACATAGAAAATGAAATTAAAAGCACCAATTCTATTCCTAAAGCTTTAAAGTGATACTTCCCAACTCAAATTAATGGGGAAATTGGCAGGAGGAGAGATTTAAATGAAAAGTAGGAAAAAGTAACTAACCTGCAGGGATGGTTGAATAAAAGCACTAAAAATAAAGTTATATGTTTTAAGCATAATTTAATTTTAAAAATTGAATTTAGATGGTTGAGAAGAATGAATGTTTTCATTCTGAGGTGCTAGAAAACAAAAGTATAAAACAGTGGCTACATCTTTTGGAAAACTGACAACTCCTTTGAAGAAATATATTTAAGGTTTTCTTTCAAAATGATACTGTGTGTGTGTTCACATGCACACTTCTGAAAGTCAATAACCAAGTAATATAAGGAATCACACATAATAAACTTTAACTTGTACATTAGCATTCAATCTTTTCCTGGGATAAGGCCAATTTTAACAAAAACAACTTATGAGCTAGTACCAATATGTTCTTTTGAATAGCAGCTTTGTATAAAACCATTTATTACAACTACCACGGAATAATGACAATACCATTGCCACTCTGAGCAAACAAAACTTTGAATGCATAGTAATTAGCAAAATGAGGTCATCTCTAGCAAAAACCATTTCTTACATACTGAAACCAATCTATAAGAAAATGAAAAGAGAATGGGACAAAGTAACTAAAAAAAAAAGATTACACGCAAAAGCATGACTTGTGTCTTTTATTCTCAGGAGTAAAACTTTATGTGAACGCTTTTGAAAACTTTAAAATGTAACTGACTACCTATGCTGTCAATCAAGTGTCGCTAATCTATTGTCCAAGTTCCCAGGGTCAAACCCTAACATTTCCACAAATAACAAAAGCCACCTTTTACATCCTAGACTGTTTCTCTTTGACCAAATATCAGTAAAGGCAGGAGATAATTATTAGTTTTATGACAAATATGTAAAGGAGTCAAATAAATGAAAAGTTTTAATTATTTGCTTCCTCTCAGCATAGATGTTAAGAGGGTCGAGTCTACTCAAAATTTGGGCTTAAGGCACTTGGTTCTTCCAGAAACCTTCAGCATTCACTGAAGAAGGAAACTGCATTGTTACTCTAATTCCTCCTTACTTTTTCAATTTATGTTTACGAATGTATTTCAGATAAAATACTCTGTTCAAAACGAAAACAACTCCAAATGCTAGTGTTCATCTGGGAAATGAAGTCTAAAAGGAAACTTACATAACCTTCCATGTATTGACAGGACAGCCTACTATCTAAATGAAAAGTGAAGCCCTTGACCTCCATAAAAAGTGGCTGCTTTGTTTAAAGAAACAAACTGTTTCAAATTAAATGAAATAACTGATTTTTTTTTCTTATTAAAGTAATTCTTTTTGGTGAGATATGAATTCAGCCAGGGATATAAAATTACTTTACATATGTTAAAGTAATGTTTTCATATATTGAATACAGACTGATTTTGGGCCTTGTCGCTTCCAGCTAATCTTGTTTAATTAGGTCTAGTTGTTTCATCTCTCAGAACTTTCATCATTAAAGTAAGTTGCTATAGACTCTAGAGCTAATGGAACTGAGGGACTGAAATTTTTTTAAGAGATTTTTAAATTGATTTTGAGAGAAAGAGGGAGAGAGAGAAAAACATGGATGTGAGAGTGAAACGTCAACTGGCTGCCTCCTGCATGCCCCCCTACCGGGGACAGAACAGGTGCACAGGACAATGCCCAACCAACTGAACCACACTGGCCAGGGCTGAATTTTAATTTTTTTAAATTGTAATTAATATAAAATTTTACTTAACAACTGAAGCAGTATAAAATATTTTTCCATTAAACACAATTTTATGGTTTTGGTGAAATTATATTTCACTTTTATTACATCACATAAGATACACTACAGTGCATGTGATGAGAGCATGTCATTTCTAGTATTTTACATAAGCAGATCACCAATCTAGTTTGTGTCAACAGAATGATTCAGTTAAAGCTATTTTTCCTTGCAACAATGCTGCACTGTAACATGTTTATCTGAATATTTTATGAAGACAGAATGAGTTACAGTGATACTTAGGTAAATCACAATTGGTAATAAAATTGAAATGCTATTTTAACTATAGCATAAATTATTTTTCTAGCTTAAAAATTATGAAAAAATTTTAACTTTCAAACGAAGGCACACTGATGACGCAGAATTAAATGGAGAAGGTATGTCACAAATTTTACAAAGAATGGTAATTATGATTTGCTATAGCAGAGTAAAATAAATCAGTTGTGTAAAAACAAATTTTAAGTCAGTCAGAAAAAGCTAAGAACCATATTATTTCATTCATATGTAGGATATAAAATTGAAACTTGTGGACACAAACAGCAGTGTGGTGGTTGCCAGAGGGAAGGAGGTAGGGGGTCGGGGGTAAAAAGGGTCTTAATATATGGTGACAGGAGAAGATATGACTTTGGGTGGTGGGCACAAAGAGCAATATACAGATCTTGTAACATAGAAACCCACACCTGAAACCTATGTGTTCATATTAACCATTGTCACCCCAATAAATTAAAATGTTATAAAAATAAAATAATTTTTTTAAAAATTTAAGATAATAAATAATATTAAGAGTCATTTTCAGCAAGTGCATATTAATTTAATAAGAAGTTGCCTCTCAACGGACAAAATAATCAATGAAATTAGTCACAATCAATGAAATCAGAATGAAATATACAACATTTTTTTAATGATTATTAAAGGATTTGAGCTTGTAATTTTGGTCAGTTATAAAATGGCTTGAATTCCTCTGTGACAGAAGAAAAACATTTTCAGATAGAAAGATAAAAACTAAATTATTATTTCAGTTGGAATTATGTTTAAAATTTTGAAGAAAAACTTAAAACAGATAATTTACAAAAAGTGAAAGATCTTCAACTGACCCACCAAGAAACTGTCAGTGAATAAAAGACCTTTCTAACAATACTAAACATCAATCAATTCAACATTTGAAAAATTGTAAGTACTTCCATTTTTAGCTTTAGATGAGTTTTATAAGACAAGAGATACTGGCCAATTAATACTTTGGGTATGTTCTGCCTCAAGTGACTTTCAAATTTACAAAGAAATGTCTTCATCCATTTGCAACCTTACAAATAATCAATCTCATGATGTAGATATTTTTTAACCTTTTACATCGGTTACCTTCAGCTAGACAGGAACGTTTCCTATCAAGACAGACAATGGACCAGATATGTGAGATCAAAATCTGGATTGGCTAGAATGATTTCCCTTACTATATTTGCTCTACTGCAGAATAACATAATGAAAATATTTGTGCTCTGAAGTAGACTGTATCATGGATGCAGTAATTAAAATTGTTCAGTATTATGTGCAAATGCTATGAATCATTACCAGTTTATGGAACTGCTATAAGAAATAGAAGATAATGAATTTAATGACCACATGTTCTTTGCCAATGTTTGTTGCTTGAGTCATGGAAGAGTTTTACAAAGATTTATTGTACTGCTACCTCATCCAATTCAAGATTTTCTTGAAACAAAAAAAAAATATTCAATATTCAAAGAGAAAACATCTCAGTGGTAATTTACATTTTCTCACCTACATTACAGTGCACGTAAATGAGCTAAATTTAAAGACCTAAGGAGAGAAAAAGCTTATTTGTGACTTAGCTAGACAGATAGTACAAGACTTTATGTTAAAATTTAAACTACTCATAACATAAATCAATAATGATGTTACACATTTTGTAACATGAATATGCAGGAGATTTTCATTTAATAGCATTAAGTAAATTGGCTGAAAAATCTACCAGAAAAATTGAAGAATGCTTCGCTGATATGGATATATTTAGACTTGATTTTCAGTTTATATAACCCTTTTGAATTTGATGTTGATAATACTAAGCTGTTACAAGAGTTAGTGGATTTACTTAACTTAGTATGTAGTTTTGAAATTTATCTGTTTTTGCTTCAGTCAAATCAGTTGTTCTAAAAGAATGAGTCAGTTTTGTCAACATATATAAAAATATTAAAGAAATATGGTTTTTGTACTTTATTGATTTATTGGAAAATTTTTAATAATAGTTTTTGGAATCTACATTAACTCAAATTTTTATGCCTAAATCAAGCATTTCCAATGAAAATTTAGCATCTGAATGAAGATATGCTATGAGTGCAAAATACACACTAGATTTTTGAAGGCTGCATATAAAAAAAATGCAAACTATCTCTAATAATTTTATATGAATTATAGGTTGACATAAAACTGGGTTAAATAAAATATACAATTTAAAATTAATTCACCTGATTCTGCTTTCTTTTTTAATGTACTAGAAAATTTTAAATTGTGTATATTGTATTAATTTCGCTGGACTGTACCTCTAGTCTCAGACACTGTTTGCTCTAATGTTCTATAATACTATTCAATATCATAAAGAGGTAACAAATATAACTTCATTTGAACTATAAGAAATCAATTTTATTTTGGCTGTATTTGTTTTCACTGGTTAAAAAAAATTTATGTTCCCACAACTGTCCCTATTTCTCAAGAGCCAATTTCAAGTTCTCTTAAAAGTCACTAAGAAGGACACTACTTCTAAGGCTGTAACTTTTGTACTGTCTGATTTTAACAGACTACCTTAGTGTTATTTGATGATGGTGGTGGTGGTAGCGGTGGTGGTGGTGGAAGGAAAGCACC